TTGGTTCTTTTTTTATAATTTTTATATCTTCATAAATACTCTCAATTGTTTTCTCTACCTCTAGTCTCTTGAGTGTTCGATAGAATTCACTGGTAAAACCATCTGAAAAATTTTTATGTACTATTCTATTCATTTGTATCAAATATTCAACAAATTCTTGTAGAGTACCTCCTCTGTGCCTGAATTTGGAATATATTAGTGAACAACCTGGATAAAATTTTCTATTCAGGTGGAGCTTACATTCAATCCTCACAGAGCTTGCATTCTGTAGTATAGAAAAAACAATGAATAAAACATAATAAACAAGAGGTGATACAATGTATTAGGATTTCATAAGTGCTATGAAAATAGAGCTGGTTAAGGTGGACCAGGAGTTGGGAGGCAGGACGAGGTGAAGGGGGGGCAGGAAGAGATTTTAAATAGGATGGTCAGGATAGTACTTACTGAGAAGATTGCTGATGCTGATGCTTATGTAAGACTTGAAGGTCATGTGGATATCTGGAGAATGAGCATTCCAGGCAGATGAAAGGGAGAGCTCAATGGGAGATCATTCCTGCTATCATTTAGAATGAGCATGAAGGCAGTTTGTTTATTTTATAAAACTAAGTGAAATAAGTCAGTCAGAGAAAGACAAATATCACATGAACTCACTCATTTGCGGATTATAATGAACAATATAAACTGATTAACAAAAACAGATCCAGAGACAGAGAAGCATCTATCAGATGCTCAAACCTCAGAGGGAAGGTAGAGGAGGGTGGGGGTAAAGAGGAGAGATCAACCAAAAGAATTGTATGCATGCATACAAGCATAACCAATGGACAGAGATAGCAGGAGGATGAGGGCATGTACAGGAGTGGGGTGGAGGGGCAATGGGGGGATATGGACACATATGCAATACCTTAATCAATAAAAATAGGAAAAAAAACAGTGCAGGTTTACAAAAGCAGTCAGAATAATTGTTGAGATGAATGTCAAGACCCTGAAGTAAGATGTTTTTTTCATTATATTATGGTTGTTTTTTTTTCTATCATGAAAAATAACCCAACAGCTGAACATATAATAAATCAAATAAAAAAGATGATTTTTAATTTTTTATATGTAGCTTTGTAAGTAACTTTTCAGAATTATGGCAAATACATATATCAAAATACTGCAAATATATATGACAAATAATTCCTTAGCTCACATGATTACATAATTAAGAACTTAATTATGTTTTAGTTTTATGAGCTAGAGAATTATATTTTAGTCTGTGAATGCTAAAGGACTAGAAAAATATGAATGTTTATTGCTATGTAGATGTAATTTACTATAGTCATGAAATAATTAGTTGTTTACTAACTGTGACGATTTATTTTATTCTTAGAGAATAAACAACTGTGTAGAGTGGGGGAAGTATAGTTTAGGAGTCAGAAGACTTGCTTCTATTTTAATTCTTGAAATTCTTTAATGTTTGACTTTTAGAAAGTCATTTTAGGCTTTATTTTACCCACTTGCTGGGAGTTCTGTTTGTTTGTTTTTAATGATATTTGACTATGTATATTCTGACTCCAAAATGCCTGTGCTTTTGTCATTCCTGTGATTATTATTTTATAATGTTTTATACTAAGCCAGTACACTGCTTTAAATATTTGTCTGGTAGAGGATTTTTAAAAAGGAAATTGTATTTTAGGTAAACTCCTGCTCATGGTTAATGTCCAGTTCTAATACTGCTTATTTTCTGTATCTTTTCATTATCACTTCAGAATTAATTGCTTCTTGACCTAGGCTACTATAGTACTTTATGCATATTTCTATTATTTATCATTATTCATACTATATTATAGTTTTAAATTTATCTATCCATGAGTTGCCTATCTCTAAAATACTTTACATTCTTTTGGTGTTCATCACTTTTTAATTAAATTTTTACACCTGTATATTTAAAGACCAATAGTTAATTCCTAATAATATAACAGAAATTAAAATTGTGTTCAATAATATTACTGCTTGAAAGCAAATATTCCATATAAAGAATCTTTCTAATGGTTGAAAATTCCCATTTCAGGCATTTAACAAGATTTAAGCCAGTCTTTTGGTCTAACTTTTACATTAGTTGGGTGGCATAAATGCTATTTGCATGACTCAAGTAGATAGATATAAGAAGTAGTTATCCTGCCATTGATAGTGAAATCACTCAAGTGGATGCTTATATTTCCTACTTGGGTTTTTTTTTGCATTCAGATTAAAGGCACACATTTCATAAAAATTAAGTGTTCTAAGAACTATTCATGAGTGTGTTTTTATGTGATGATATAAGTTTTAGCAGGTATTCATAGCCATTTACTTGATGATGTGCTCTTACAGATAATGAATCAGAATAAGACCCTCTTTTGTTTAGATTTAAAAATTCTTTTCAGCTCTCCATAATCCTAATTTCTCTCCTCTTTTTCAAAAACACTTGTTTGAAGAACCATATTGATCCATTTATTCAACAGCTATATTTAACTTCTATTTTGTGCCAGGCTGTTAGGCATTATTAGATTTGGAAGTGAACAAGGTAGATAAGATCTCTGCTGGCAGAATTAACAAATGAATAAACTTTTTCCCATTTAGCCAGTATTCACTGATTGCCTACTATGTGTTAGACATTGTTCTGGGAATTGTAGATACAGCAGTAAAAATAGCAAAGTCTATATGCTCTTGTCATGGGGAAAGCTATCTTTACATAGGTTGGCCAGGAAAGATTTGTTCTAAGAAAGAGTTGTCTGAGCTGACAAGGAACCAAAGGACAAGATTAATTGAGGCCAAACAGCAGTTGCTGATGATCTGAATGAACTCACTGTGTTTGATGTACATTGGTTTGTAGTTTTTGAGATGAGAAAATTAAGGAATATATTATTGGTTCCATTTTTCAATTAATGGGGGCATCAATTGGGAAGTTTTGTGGGAGCGGATGGATAGTAAAGAAGTAACAATTTGAGGAGATAAAAATTTAATGAGATCACTGTAAAATAGTCACTCCAAAAATAAAAGAAAAGGCAGACCAAGAAAATGCAGTTTGTTGAGGGTCTAACTTATAGCTTTTTTTTATCCTGAATTTAAAGTGAAGCTAGTTGTGTGGTTTTCTCTAGATACAGGGACAGGTGACAAGAAGGTACAGTGTTTATCAAGAGTTGAGTTTATCTCAGGAGATTATGGTGAAGAAAGAGAGGAACAAGTGTTGAAGGTGTTTTCAAGAAAGTCACCATCATTCAAGCTGTAGAATTTATGCTGGGGAAGAAGAAAATAAAGAGGGAATGAAGACTGAAGATGTTTGATAGTGAGGAATGTATTAGTAATGTGGATGAGATTGAAAGTTGTGGTCAGACAAGTGAATTTCATGGACTGAAGTGCCAGAGCTCTTTCTATTTCTTTCTTTTTTTAATTCCATGAAAATGGTTGAATGTAATATAGGGAGAAAGTGGAAGGTAAAAAATATCTACTTAGAAGTCAGAAACTTGGGATCTTATCTCAAGTTATACATAAGATCTCCTTTTTAAAGCCTTGACCTCATTGGCCACATTCTCCTAATTATTCCAGCCCTCTGCCATGTGCTGGGCATATAGTATCCTATATAATAAAAGGGTAATATGCAAATTGACCCTAATGGTGGAATGATCGGTCACTATGATGCACACTGACCACCAGGGGGGCAGACGCTTAACGCAGGAGCTGCCCCCTGGTGCTCAGTGCACTTCCACAGGGGGAGCGCCACTCAGCCAGAAGCCAGTCATGGCTGGCCAGTGCAGCAGCGGTGGTTGGATCCTCTCCTGCCTCCACGGCAACACTAAGGATGTCCGACTAATGGTTTAGGCCCAACCCCCGTGGCAGGTGGACATCCCCCAAGGGCTCCTGGGTTGCCAGAAGGCTGTCTGACTGCCAGCTTAGGCTCGATCCCCCAGGGAGTGGGGCTAAGCCAGCAGGTGGACATCCCCCGAGGGGTCCCAGACTGCGAGAGGGCACAGGCTGGGCTGAGGGACCCCCCTGAGTTCACAAATTTTCATGCACTTGGCCTCTAGTTATCAGATAAAGGTAGGTGCAGCATGCTGTTGGAGTACAGAGGTGGGTCATGCAACCCAAATGGGATGGAGAGTGGTCACATTTTGAGGAAGTGACATATAAGCTAAGAGCTGAACGATAAATAGTAGTTTGAATTTAACAAAGAATGGTGGGAGGAAATAGTGTATATTAAGATTCTCAAGCAGAAAGAAAGGACTTGAAGGATCCTGAGTGGCTGTATTATGGTATACTAGAGGCACAGTGTGTGAAATTGCGCGAGACCGAGAAACCTGCTGTGTCGCGGGACCCGCCGTGCCACACGACCAAGACCCGCCATGCCATGAGATCCATCAGTGCACCTCCTGGTGACCAGTTGTTTGGTTGTTATGGCATTACAGCAACTGGCCTTTTATAATATAGATGAGAAAAGTGTAGATACCCAAGGCTAGAAAATTTAGCAAGAGCCATATTTTAAAGGACCTGGTAGGTTATGTTAAAGAAATTTATTCCTAAAAGCAACGTGGGAGGACCCATTATTGGGTTTTAAATAGAGAAGTGATAAAAGAAAAGAACACTTTAAAGTGAGGATTTGCTTTTATGAAGAAGTTGAATTTTATCATCTCTAAGCATGCTAAAATTTTTCATACCTGTGTAGAAAGTAGTAAATAAAATGATTTAAATATAGACCTATTTTAATCTGAAAAGAATGAACAGTAATTAATATGGGACTATATTAAACATAGAAATAAAGCCTTGCTTACAAAGCATTATTAAATTCATATTAATCTGTTTGCAAAAAAAAATTGAAATTAAAATTTTCCTTGACTCTAAGTACATTTGGTTACTGATGTATATTTTCCATCATATCAGTGAAAATATTAGATAATTTCCCATGAGTTTGTGTGTGCTATTTAATATCCCAATCAAATGGAGATGAAACTCTATACTTTTTCTCTCCAGTGATTTAAACTTTTGAGATGCTTCCATTAATTGGAAAAACAATCATCTTTGATAACTTTCCTGATCCTTCTGATACATGGGAAATCACCGAAACAATTGGCAAAGGAACTTACGGGAAAGTTTTTAAAGTGTTGAATAAGAAAAACGGCCAAAAAGCAGCAGTCAAAATTCTGGATCCGATTCATGTAAGTCACATTGTTTTTATCATGTAATTAACTTTGTTTTTGTCTGTAAAAATTCTGTAAGTACCTTATCTTGATTTATTTATTTCAATTTGAAGAAAATGTGGGGAGAAAAAGTCTGACTGTTAGATTTTCCTTGTTTGTATGCTTAACATATAAGGCCCAAGAAATATTTGATAAATTAATAAATATATAATACAAATAAATACAGCTCACAACAGCTCAATAGTTCATTTAATATTATTTTAGATTTCAAAAAGTTGTAATAATAGACCCATGGGTTTAGAAGTAGTCCTCACATGTCATCAGGACCAGATCTCCTTTTCTTCTTGCATTTATTTAGGCTGCAGGAAGAATTTTTCTTAAGCCAAGCCAGGATATTTTTTTTTTAAATTAAATTTCGGTCCTGGCCAGTGTGCCTCAGTTTCTTGGAGCATCTTCCCGTACACTGAAAGGTCATGGGTTTGATTCCCGGTGAGGCACGTACCCAAGTTGCAGGTTTAATTTCTGGTTCAGGTATGTTAGGAGGCCAATGATCAATGTTTCTCTCTTATATGGGTCTTTCTTTCTTTCTTTCTTTCTTTCTTTCTTCCTTCCTTCCTTCCTTCCTTCCTTCCTTCCTTCCTTCCTTCCTTCCTTCCTTCCTTCCTTTCTTTCTTTCTTTCTTTCTTTCTTTCTTTCTTTCTTTTTTCCTCTCTCTTCTCTTCTCCCCTTCCCTTCCCTTCCCTTCCCTTCCCTTCCCTTCCCTTCCCTTCCCTTCCCTTCCCTTCCCTTCCCTTCCCTTCCTTTCCCTTCCCTTCTCTCTCTCTCCCTCTCTCTCTCTCCCCCCCTCTCCCTTCCTCTCTCTCTAAAATCAATAAAAACACATATCCTCAGGTGAGGATTGAAAAAAATTAAATTTCATTCAGAGAAGGGAAATTAATTTTCAGGTTTGCTTAAATAATTTCAACAGTGTTCGTTTGTAATCAGGTTGAGGTTCCTTGTGAAGAACTGAATTTCATGTTCTGTCTGTTTAAGCAGTGCCCGAATGGGATCTCCCTTTACTTTTTCTGGAATAGCAGTTGTGAGAAGGGAACCTACTAAGTCTTTCTTTGCCCTGAATAGCATGAGAAGATTGACAAGATTCTGTTTTCTGGGAATGTGAGCTGGCTCTTTTGAAGCATTTTCAGCTACTGGGAGATATGTAGTCTCCCATAGCACATGGATGAGCAGGAATGAGCTCAGTGATCACGTAATCCCCAAACTTCTATTGAAAGCCGCTTCTCCATTTATATCACTCTTGCGCATGTGATGGGAATGTAGCCTGATATAAATGATGTGGTTTGTGGTAGGGCACATCAGAGTCCCAGTCCTCCTCCCAGCTCTCCCACTAGCAAAACTGGAGGTCACTGCAAAAGGTCTCTGGGCCACTGTTCATCTTAAGATTGATTTTTTTTTTTTGCATAGTTTATTTCTACTAAACTCATGCTGACTATAGTGTTTCATATTATTTTGAGTAAAGAAGAAAGAGTGTGGGTTGTCCCCTCCCCCCCCATAATTAGGTGATAATGAGGAAAAATAATGAGTAGCACTATGCTTAGTCTTAACTGATGTGGAATGTCTTCTCATTTCCCTATTGGAAAGTTCTTACCATTTAAACTAAGGGAAGAGAGACCCAAGATAAGCTGTACCAAAGTGACTGTACCTCTCTCCTCTAGTCTTTGCAATTAGGGATCGGGGTTCATGGTGGAAAGAGAAAATATTCCAGACAGATCCCATGGTCTAATTCTATAATCAGTGTCTCTCTCCCATTCCTTACTTCTTAATGGAGAAGAACAGATGGCTTTCATAATATAGTCATGTTTGGTATACTACTAACCTAATAAATCATGCTTTGTTGTATTGCTTTAATGGAACATATTGATTGCATAGCTCTAGTATGAAATTTTGCTGCTTTTATTCTTGTCATAGGACCTATGTGGTTTTCTAAGAATTATTTACTCTTCATCCATCATGTCATAAGTCAAATAAAAAAGATTTATAACCAAGAGATTATAATCTAAATAAAATAAATTTAAATGCATCCAAGCATTTCACAGAGTGGCTTTTTTATTAAAAGGGTCTCATTATTATGGATTTCGAACTAGTGAATTTCTCTCCAAAAATAAGGCTGGGATGAGCAGGAACGAGAGGTAGCAGGCAGTGGTCTTGCAGGCAGGCTAGTGTTGGATCTTGCACCAACCAGCTCTGTGATTCTAACTTCTCTGAGCTTCAATGTCTTCCTCTCATGTTAGAGCTATGATCTAAAATTCTTTTCAGCTCTGTGCTTCCATCATCTGTCTTACAACAATGTGGACATTAAATATTACTGTAAAAACAGTATTAGAAAGCTTTCTTTTATTTATTCCTCTATGAGTTGTTTCATGTATATGTGGTTTATCTAGAAACATGACTAGGTGGCTATCTTGAATTTTTATTGACAGGATAGCAATCAATTCTTCTTATTCTCAATGGGCCTTTAGCTAACTAAAGGCTATACACCATTTTATATAATTTAACTGCATTTTACTTTTTTGGAAAGATAGGAATTTATTGCATTTTACTTTTTTGGAAAGGTGGGAATCTATTGTATGGCTGGGTTTTGATAGCTTCTAAATATCCTGTATTTCAAAGAAATAAAATGAACTAGCTAAAAGTTTTTATTTTAAATTAGTGGCCTTGCCATTGAAATGCAGTTAACACTATAAAGGAGATAATCTTTACTAGTTCTCCATATATGCTTCTCTCTACAGTAACTACATACCAAAATAGCCTTTTTTATCCCTTTTTAATTCAATTCAATTAACTTAATTGGAGATATATTTGATTAGCAGGAAAATCCCAAACTCTCCCTTTAAACAATGTAACGAGAAATTTCAATGCACAGTGCTGAGCACAATAAAAACTATTATGACTTTGCTTTGACAAAATTAAATTCACTATTCGGTTTCTGTAATAAGTTTCTTTGATGTTATTCATGCTTTCCTCACAGTTCTCTTTCTATGACTTTTTGAAACTAGGATATTGATGAAGAGATTGAAGCAGAGTATAATATCTTAAAAACTCTTTCTGATCATCCTAATGTGGTCAAATTCTATGGGATGTACTTCAAGAAGGATAAAATAAATGGAGATAAGCTTTGGTTGGTTCTTGAGGTAAGTGTTTCAACATTATTTTATGGGTAGAAATTTGCAGTGTGGTTTGGAATGATGTCATGTTTATGCAACATCAATATCTCAAAGCAGTTCTAGTGTGTTCCTGACTGGTTACATTCTCAGTGGAATGTTGTGCCCAGTTGTGGCCTTGTCATCTTTTTTTAAAATCCTCACCCAAGGATTTTTTCTATTGATTTTTAGAGAGAGTGGAAGGGAAGGGGAGAGACAGAGAGAGAGAAACATCGATGTGAGAGAGACACATCACTTGGTTGCCTCCCACATGCATCCCGAGCAGTGCTGGGGAGCAAGCCTGCAACTGTTCCCTTTCCCTAAATTGAACCCGGGACCGTTCAGTCCATGGGCCAATGCTCTATCCACTGAGTCAAACTGGCTAGGGCAAACTGTCATCTTAAGACACATTGGGAATTAAAAACCACAAATGATTAAAAATTAAAGGAACATTTTCACAATAAAAGCCTAAAGAAACTAGGATTATTTTCCTTGCAGAAGAACAAGCTTAAAAGGGACTTCATTATAATATTTACTTATTCATCCATATTTTATTCAACTAATACATGATTGAGGCTCTGTGCCAGGTGCTAGGATAGAAGAGAAAATTAATTTTAAGTGAGGCTTCATTATGCAAAAATGGTGAGCTGCTATGGTTCTTATTTCTTTTCTCTCTCTCCTTATTGAATACTAATGACATAAATTACACAACCAGGTATTTGCATTTATGGGGCGGCGGGGGTGTGTGTGGGGGGGAAACCACAGTAGAAATGGTATAGAATACTGACTACGTTGCCAAAGGGAAGCTGTAGATTCTGCCTTTTAAGTCCTGAGAATAGTTTGGACAGTTCTCTCTAATGCCGAGCTCTAGAAGGCGCGCTGCTCAGGTAACTGCCAGTCCTAGGAGAATGTGGTTTTACTGATTTTCATTGAATATTGTTATTCAAGTGATTTAAGAATTTTTTCAAGTTGTTATCATGGCTAGTAAAACCCTCATTGACCACTGTAATATATGTTTATTGTGTTCATTATGATTTTATTAGCATGTGATTATTCTACTTCTTTCAGAATGTTATGTTGGTTTTCCTGCATTGGCATAATAATCATTTATAAATTATATTGCTTCCTTACTCAACATCATATTTTTATTATGAATTATAAAGGATTATAGAAATAATGGGTGATAATTGTAGAAAATACTTGAAACTATAAGAACCATTCTTAACAACCATTCTTAACATTTAACATAGATCGTTTACCCTTTTTTGTATGTTTAAATGATTGAAAACATCACCTATCAAGTTATCCTATTTTTCACTTAATGTATTTTCAGATAGACCTAATTACTTTTTACCTTTTTCAAAATAAATACACAATAAAAAGCAAGTAGAACCAAAAGGCCTAACATGTAAAGCAATAATAATGTATTTCCAGCTTAGTGGTGCCACCTTCTCCTGAGCAGGTCTGTGCTTTTGATGTGTTGATTGATGTACTTGGAAATGTATGACTGAGCATTTCTGCTCTTTTGTGTAGTAATCCAGGTTCTGCATTTTAGCAAGGTTATTATTTGCACTTCTGGAACCGGTGTCCTGCTCCATTCTGGAGGTCTGTCATGCACATAACCTCTGATATCTCTCTGCTGCTCACCTGGGTAGAACCCATCATTTTCTGGATCTCATCACCGCCACTTTCCAACTTTATTTCTCTGTTTTGCACATCATGTAATGGTATGCGCCTTACTCTCATTATCCGCTGTAGTGATGTCATCACATCTTGAGTCTCGTCAGTTCAGCCTCTGTAGGGAAAAAACCTCCAGTCCCTTGCTGGGTGAGTGTGTGAGGAGTACCAGGCAGGCTTCTGCATGTGGATAGCTTGTATGTGGGTTAAGAGGGGTCAAGTCTTTTGATTAGAGACTTCCAAAGGATTCCTTGTGTTCTGCATCTCTCCTCCCTACTCCACCGCCCCTTTCACTGTGACTCAGTCCTGTGTGGGTTAATCTGCTCACCGAGCATTTTAGTTTGTGGCTTCCTTTGCATTGCTAAATCAGTTACCACTAGTTATCTGATTTCCACGTTGAAAAATTTTATTGAACCTCTTGTCCGCTGCTCTCTCTCTTTCTGTTCTCTATTTTCTTGTGATTTATACTTTTTTATTCCTTTACTAGCATTTTAACAGAGATTCATGAGTGAGAGGAAATAAATTTATATGTTTAATCTGCCACCTTCAATTGCACCATAGAGGCTTTCAAAACTGTAAAATAATATTTTCAAGAAACTTTCCAAAATTTGAAACTGTGTATTATATTATTATATAAAGGTTTAAAAATTGTAAATAACCAGCTGTGTTTTTAGAAACAGGCAAATTATTAGGATTTGAGAATTATTTTGTACTTCTCACTTAAGTTTTAAATAGCTTTATGTTTTTAGTTAAATCACACATGAAAACAAAGCAAAACTTAATTACCTAAGTATTAGTATGTAAATTATGAATTGAAACCATTTTGCCTTAAATTAATGGAGAATTTTAAAGGGCTTACTTCATGTTTGTGTTTGTATATTTGAGATGTAATGCTGTGCAAATCCTTAGTGTAGTCTTGAATAAAATTTCATGTCTTTGTATCCTTCAAAACATATTCAATAATTGCATCTTTACTTTTTTCCATGTAGAATCATTGGCAGATGATTAGGCATTGTAATGTAGGCCTAAATGGGCAAGGACATAATGTATAAATCTTTGCCTTTAAAAGTATTGAATGAGATCAGTCATTGTCTTTTATGATGATCAAATCCTATACTGACATTCATTATTATCACGTGGAATTAGGTAAGAGTTGAGACTCCTGATCATAGTTAAATGTTCTTTTCAGAGGACAGAAAAGATTGATTAAAATGGTTTTGGAACATCCAGTAAAGTGAAGCAGCTTCCTGATATAATGAATCAATAGAGACTTAACAGCTTCTTTGAGATTTGTCCTTATATTTTATTATCAGGTGGTGGTATTGGAAATATCCCTAAGTAGCCTGAGAAAAAAAGAATAAATGGTAATTTATTATAAAGGGATTTCAGAAATCTAATCCATCTGAACTTACAACGTGGGGGAAAAGGGTAAAGAAAGCAAGAAGTTGGCTAACTGATATAAGATAATTGAATTGCATATGTAAATCAATTACACATTACATATACACATAAGTGGCCAGATGTATAATGATCTGATTTATAAACATGAATGGTGCAAATGCTGCTTTAGAGGAACTTTCAGAAAATTGGCTTGTGGCATCAATACTTTATTCTACAAAATGACTGCTAATTATACCTATTATTATAATAAAGCCCAAATGAATCATTTTGAATGAGGATACCAAAAGAGTGGCCCAAAAGAGGCTGTGATGTTACCTACCAAGCCATGCTAACAACGCCTGGTTTCTAATGTGAATCTACATAAGGAAGATGTGTCCCGGAGGGGCTGAGCACCATCACACCCCTCATTATCAGTCTGGCGTGTGGGTAAGCGCTATGCCCGCTTAGACCAACTGCTGCCCAGTGACTTTTTACCGTGAAAAATCATTTTATTTATTTTTCAAGCTAGAATTGAAATCCTAAGAATAATGTGTATATAGATCTTTCCAGGCAGTCTGTTTTCTCTACTATTTAGTTGTGATTTAAAATTATTTCTTTCACTTTGATATAGTTTTTTCTTTCTTGTATCTTTTCTTCATTTTGTTATACTATAATTTTTTAATATGTTTTATCTATAATTTTTTAATATGTTTTATTGACTTGAGAGAGAGAGAGAGAGAAAAACATCCATGTGAGAGAGAAGCATTAATCAGTTGCCTCCCATAGCACTCCGACCGGGGATCAAACCCACAACCTGGTGTATGCCCTGACCAGGAATCGACTGGAGACCTTTTGGTGCATGAGACAGCATTCAACCAATTGAGGCACACTGGCCAGGGTATACTATAAGTTCTTGAGCATGAATAATATACAAGGCTCTGTTTGGGAATTCTTTCCTTCTAAATTTTTGGTGTATTTATCTTCAGACTATAAATGTTGCCCTGATTTAGTAAAGGAATACTAGTTGCTAGCCTTCTGAAATTCCAGTTATGCAGTTGAAATGAAATGACCTACTAAGAGAAGAGGTAGAACATTTTTTGCTGTGGGATCTAATTAGTTGTGTGTTTTTTTATAGGAAGGTCTATGGAGATTTTTACTGTCATTTAACATTCTAGGTTTTCCTAGTCATGAAGGCATAAAGAGAGAACTAATTGTTTCTATGCCTCATTTTAAAGTACCATACTTATATTAATTTTTGCCTATTGCTACCACATCCCTTGGCTGACCTGCTTAGTAAAATATAGATTGGGTAGTCCCCCTTATTCATGGGCAATAGATGTGTTCCCAGACCCGATCCCCAGTGGATGCATAAAGCCATAGATAGTACTGAGCCTTATATGTACTTTTGGGGTCCCTCAGCCCTGGCTTGCACCCTCTTGCAGTCCAGGACCCCTTGGGGGATGTCCACCTACCGGCTTAGGCCTGCTCCCAGACATCCTTAGCACTGCCACAAAGGCAGGAGAGGCTCCTGCCACCGCCGCTGCGCTCGCAGTCATCAGCCCAGCTTGTGGCTGAGCAGAACTCCCCCTGTGGGAGCACACTGACCACCAGAGGGCAGCTCCTGCGTTGAGTGTCTGACCCCTGGTGGTCAGTGCACATCATAGCGACCGGTCGTTCCCATTCCGTCATTAGGGTCAATTTGCATATTATTCTTTTATTATATAGGATGTTTTTTCCTATACATACACACCTATGGTAAAGTTTATTTATAAATTAGGCACAGTAAGAGATTAATAACAATGATGAAAATAAAATAGAACAAGTATAACAATATACTGTAATAAAAGTTATGTGAATGTGGTCTCTCCTCTCTCTGTCTCAAAACATCTTATGTACTCTATGTACAGTGTAGATATGCTGGATAGAGGGAGATT